CCTCAGTAGCTTGGTTGCTTTTCTCTCATTAAGGTTTGCACCACAGCTAGTGCATTTCTCAAAACAATTAACACAAAGTGCAACAGCATCACTTGCTAAAATCTGGACACCATTCTTTATTAAAAATATTGTAAAATGGATTTGTCATGTTTTCATTGTGACAGTTCACTCTGAAAGTGTTTTCCAATGCAAAAAAAGTCCAATCTGGTTAAACAGTACCTGCTTGACACCACTAAATATAATTTGCACAGACAAATGAGATCTACAGTTAGTGAGGTAAATGAGCACAAGACATCAAATACATGTCTTACATTTTTATTTCATATGCTCATTGCAATTCACTGCACTGTTCAAAAGTAAAGTACAAACTTACTGTATTTACAACAAACATAAGGCTTTACCCAAAGGGAGCAGCCTTTGGGTAAAGCTGTGCACCACTATAAAGAATATCATCTGTAAAAGAAGAGGTTCACTTGAGAGAAAATAATTTAATTTTAATTTTTCAGGAATGAATCATAACAAAAAAAAAATGCATGAAACTTTGACAACTTGTTCAACATTTCTGTTTGTAATTTTATGTAACGAATGCAAAACTGGATCAAATGATGACTCATTAGAAGGCCTAAGAAGAACACCGACACGGTGAAAAGGTTGACATTACCACCAGGGAGAGAACTAAAACATGCAGGATGCCGGCCCCGGAAGGCCGAATTTGGGTTCCCCTGTTCTAGAGTGTTCTCACTTAGACTCGTCAGAGTGAGTTCTCATGTGACGTATCAAATCTGTTTTTCTAAGTTAACTTTTTTCGCACGCAACACATTGAAAAGGTTTCTCATCTGTGTGAGTTATGAAATGAGTTTTTAAGCTACTGCTGTGGCAAAATGCTTTTCCACATGTCTTGCACAAAAATGGCTTCTCGCCTGTGTGAACCCTCATGTGTCTATTCAGTAAGTCTTTTCTTCTGAAAGTTTTTTCGCAGACATCACAGGGAAACGGCCTTTCATCTGTGTGAATCCTCACGTGATTAGTCAAATGCACTTTTTGAGAAAAACCTTTGCCACAAATCACACAAAAGAACGGCTTCTCACCCGTGTGAACTCTCTGGTGTTTATTCAATGCGTCTTTAGATCTGAAGGTTTTTTCACACGCATCACAGGGAAAAGGTTTTTCATCTGTGTGAATTCTCACGTGATCAGACAAATCCCCCTTTTGAGCAAATTGTTCGCCACAAATCGTACAAGACGAGGACTTCTCCTCTGTGTGAGTCCTCATGTGAATTGTGAAATTGACTTTTTCTTTGTAACTTTTTCCACATGTCGTACATTGAAAATGAGTCTCTAATGTGTGAGCCATGAAGTGAACTCTTAAGGTGTGGCTATGATGGAAAGCTTTTCCACAGAACCCACACAGAAAGGGCTTCTCACCTGTGTGTCTTCTAATGTGAACCACTAACTGGCCTTTTCGATTAAACCGTTCTCCACAGGTAACACACAAAAAGCGCTTCTCGCCTGTGTGAACTGTCATATGTTCAGTTAGTGAGCTTCTTGCTCTGAAAGTTTTTTCGCAGATATTACAGGTAAAAGGCCTTTCATCTGTGTGACGCCTCATGTGATTGGTCAAATGAGCCTTTTCATTGAAAGTTTTCTCACAAATCGTACAAGAGAGAAGCTTCGCACCTGTGTGAATTCTGACGTGCCTATTAAAATCTGATTTTCTTATGAAGCTTTTACCACAGTACAGACATTTAAAAGGTTTCTCACCTGTGTGAATTGTGATGTGCTTATTAAAATCTGATTTTCTAGTAAAGCTTTTTCCACAGTACAGACATTTAAAAGGCTTCTCACCTGTGTGAATTCTGACATGCTTATTCAAATCAGACTTTGTAATGAAGCTTTTTCCACAGGACTGACATTTAAAAGGCTTCTCGCCAGTGTGAGTTCTAATGTGAACTATTAATTGGCATTTTCGAATAAACCCTTCCCCACAGGTCACGCACAAAAATGGCTTCTCGTCTGTGTGAATCCTCATGTGATCATTCAATGAAACTTTTGATTTGAAAGTCTTTTCACAGGTATTGCAGGTATAAGGCCTTTCATCTGTGTGAAGCATCATGTGATAAGTCAAATTACATTTTCGGCCAAAACTTTTGCCACAAATCACACAAGAGAAAGGCTTCTCACCTGAGTGAATTCTGACATGTTCATCAAGAACTGATTTTTTAGTGAAGCTTTTTCCACAGGACAGACACTTGAAAGGTCTCTCACCTGTGTGAATTCTTATGTGAACCATTAAGTGTCCTTGTTTTATAAAACATTTTCCACATGTTGTACATGGAAAACGCTTCTCACCTATCTGCCTTTTCGACTGCTGGGTCAAGTTATTATTTTGAGTAAAAATGTCCCTTCTGGGTTTTGAATTGTCACAGTTGTTACTCTTTGTGGTTTTCAGATAGCTCTTATCTAGTTTCTGTGCTTTATCTTGCTTGGATTCTGAGTCTTTATGATGGTTTCCTTCTTGATCCTGGTTCTCAGATTCACTGAAGTCCTGAGAGATGACTTGGTTCCTGACTGGATCTGGTTTAATGTGGTTCTTTTCTTCATCATTTGAAGTCACCATAAATGTGTCTTTATTCTCCTGCTTCAGTTCAAGTTGGTCTTCATGCTCACCTATGCAGATCTCCAATACTTCCTCTTTAGTCCAGGGATGTTCTGTCTCTTGCTGCTCTTCTTTCATCTGCAGAGGTTCTGGTTCCTCCTGGTCCAAACTGGAATTACTCTCCCGTTTCCAGAGCTGCTGGTCAGAAGAAACCTCCTCTTTCCAAACATAATCCTGTAGATCGTCTGGAAACAAAAACACAGGAGAAAGTTTTTCTATTGTGGGTTTAAAAAAAACACTTAACTTTAATTGATAAGTAGCTAACTTTAGGGTTAAATCCTAAAATGTTTTGGAAAACATGAATTTAGTCTGAATGTATTGTAGTCTAATAAGCTATGGTATGTTTAAAAAAAATACATCCTTTATAATCACTGTTCCTCTTAATTTTCTTTTCTATTTGTCATCATAACAGTATATGTGGCTCTATTCCCTTTTGGCTTCATATTCTCATCCTACTCAGCTACATTTGTCTCAATAGTAACAACTTTGTTGAAAAACTTCCTAAATAGTTTAATCGAACTCATGACTTCTGTCTTTGCTGAGTTGGCATCACAGATAATTAAACTATTAGATTTAAATTGTTCCCTTGCCTCCATCTTTTCTTTCTCTCTCCTCTGCTTTATCTCTTTCTGGAATACATTTCTGCAATAAACTATCCCCTTTTTAGAACTTCTTTGTTCATGTAGAGGACTTTATTGGCAACGAAAATATAAATTACTAAATGGCTCAATAAAGCAGATAAAGTGGTAAATATTGCATCAAAAATGTTTAAATAAGAACTTTCCCAACTTAGAGATTGGATCTTGATGTTGGTCAATAAGAGAGAAATTGACTCCCTTACCACTTTGTCACTTTACCTCCTACAAAGAGTCAGAAGGAAAAACAAAAGATGAGGGAAACAGAAACAAATCTGTAAATAAACAAAGGTGAAAACAGGAGGGGAGAAAATATTACAGGAGAAAATAAATTAATGTGTAATCAATGAAATGGTCAGCAAGTTAAAAAAATTATTAAATATATAATATATTATATAAAAATGATATCGTTCATGAAAATGAAAACTAAATAAAACAAAATTGGAAATAAAACAAATAGCAATAAGTTAATGTAATATTAACTTATTACACTTCAAAATGTACCCTTTATAATCAAATAAGTTTTAAATACTCTTTTTTTGGGATACATTATTTGCTATTATATTACCTCAAGTTTGCTCTACACCTTTCTGATTTAGAAAGAACTTGACACACTTCTCATATTTTTAATCTGGTTTGAATTTGTTAAACTCTTTTGACCTAAATATAAATATACAATGCATTTAAAAATCATTTTGTTGAGGCTACACTTCATGACACAAATTAATAAAACAACTTTTTTGTGGTTGCATCCATCAAAATGATCTAAGGATTATTCTGGGACATTAACTCAGAGTAAATGAAATAAATATATTCAGTAAAAGAAGCTATAGTTTTTGGTAATTAATGTCAGAGGGTCCTGTCATCATATAGTTTTTTTTCCCCCTTCCCAATGAATCTCTGAAATGCAAGAGTTTAAGCTTGGTACTTTCCAAATTACAGCAGACTAAAGATGCTCACGGTAGTAAAACAAATTGCAGTTTTGCTGTAGACGTTTTTGCTGAAACAACACGCCAACTTCAGCTTCATTGCCTGATTTCCGCTGATATGTCCCAAAATGAACGCTTTAAACCCGAAATCTACATCCTCCGTCATCAGCAAGACGGTGGTATCATTTGCGTTTCTTACCTTTTCGGTGTGAAGTGAGCTGCGGTGTCCGAGCGAAATCCAGCAGTCTGCGCTGATCGTCCATCTCTTCCTCCTTCACGATAATTTCCTTAAACTCTGTGAATGTTTCTTCAGCAGGACCTAACTGCTCATTGATGAACTCTCGTTTTAGCTGGACTGAAGACATTATTGCTGTAAACATTCACATATTCAGCCCGCAGATGGTCAAACTCTAGATTGAGTCCAAGTAGAAGGAAAGCTAACACTGCTAGCTTCACAGTTCTTCTTCTTGAGTTTAAATGTCGGTTGACAAAGGCCGTTAGGTAAGCATTACCGCAACCTACTGGTAAGCAGTGTGGTTCATGAGGATTTAATTTATTCTATATATACATACACTTAAATATAGATCTATTACATATACATATCTACATTTATAAAAACAGCAATTTTCTAATTTGTGGATTTATGGCAGGTGGCATTAAATGTTCTATTTTACCTACTTAAACTATATTCTTGTATATAATTCCATTTCCTTTAGAAATTTAATAAAGGTTTTATTAATATGTGAGGTATTTCTCATACACACACACACATACATTTATCTTTGTGAGAGATTAATTTTATTACTTTATTTTTCACATAATGGGTTATAGCAGAAAATAGTATTGTATTGTTCATACGTGGAATCAGCATAATAAAAAAAAAAGACGGCAATCACATCAGTATAAACTCATTTTATGTAAACACCAACATTCAATACGCTGCTTTCAACAAGCAAACGTCTGTGTTCATTTCAGCATGTCCTATAAAATACAATTTGCTCTCATGGATTCACGTAGAGACACTATTCAGAATTCATCACAGTCTACCAAGGAATCAGAAAAGGAAAAGCTACTCGGCTGAATTCATTTTAAATGAATATTTGCTGAGTATAACAGATCTAAATTTAGGAATTATGCATTTTAGCTTCCCCTGTGATTGTAAATAAATACATTTTCTAGTCTCTGGTATGTATAGTATTTTATTGATGTTGAAACAGATTGTGGAAGTTGAACATCAGCGTATGTTCAATCATTTTTGCTGCAATCACAGAAGAGGATTGGTGTCACCTTGTTTGCAGAAAGAAAACCAACAAAATAAAGAGTTACTTGTGAAAATGTCGAAAACAGTTCTTGTTCTTCTTGAGACACAGATGCACTTTGCACTTTGAACATTTGAAGACAGTCTGGCCCTTACACTGAGGCATCTTGCAGCGTTGCCGTCCGCTCTCCACCACCGGCCAGTGACCGACAGCGTCTGAACGCACTTTCAGTGTCGGAATATCCTTAGCCGGGCCTCGACGTTTCTTCTTCTCAAATTCACTTTCGACGTCAAAGTAAGGCCATCCCCTCTTCTTCTTGGACAGGTCTTTGCCTTGCATAAAAAGAGCTTGTGCAACTGAAACCCTAAAAGCAAGAAAGTCCTTCTGCCTCCGTCTTGGAATACCCAACGATTCACAATCACGTTTGTATAACAGCCAGCTGTTCACAATGACCATATCAAGTAACTGACAAAACAACCTGTGGTGGTACTTTCTGGACCTAATCTGGGTGCGATAGGATGTAATCAGCACATCAAGAGCATGGATGCCGGCCACAAACTTGTTGTACAGGCTGATGATGTTTGGGTATTCCACTGATTGTTTCTGCTTCAACTTTCTGCTCCATTTTTGGACGTTGGCCACAGGATGGGCACTAGCAAAGGTGCTAGTAACAGTCACCCCCCCGTAGTAAAACCACTTGACTGCTCTTATTTCCACATCGTCGACGGCAGCCCTCTTCTCTTCAAACGACCCCAATCCTTTCTTCTTCAACTCAGGATCTGTGCTAAAACTGCAGCTTCGGAGGCCATTTTTCTCCACAGCTCCAAGGGCTGGTATCCCCTTCTTTGTGAGAGCTGCAAACAAATCAAAGGATGTAAACTGACTGTCAAAATACAAAAGATGATTGGCAGAACCATGGATGACTTGTGTAAGCTTCAGGACAATGTTTCCACTTGTCCCGATGTCTGGTTCTCCAGGTAGAGGATCCATTTTCCCTGTGAATACATCGAACGAGTGAATCAGGCCCTTTGTATCACACAACATGAAGATCTTGTATCCCGATTCGCGTGACCTTTTGGGGATATACTGCACCAGACTAGAATCACATTTTAAAGGGACCATTTGCTGAGCAATACACAGCATCTGATCTTTAGGGAGGCTGTTAAACTTTTGGAGAAGTGAATCAAAAACCGGCCTAATTTTGAAGAGTGCGTCTCCACTGTTGGCGGCCATGGTGCTGTTGTCGTTGAAATGAAGGAACTCCTTAATCTTCTTCCATCTCTCCCGGGTCATCACATCAGCCACATACTCTACTCGGCACTCATTGGACCAGTACATTCCCGAATTTGGAAGATGTAGAATACTCATGTACACTAAAGTCCCGATAAACTGCTCGAGTTCATTTCGATCCAGCTTGAGGCCAGTGTAACGATTGCGTGTGCTTTCCTGAATGAAATACAGATTGCTTTGTTCTACAATAGTATCCAGAAGATCCGTGTCGAAGAAGTCCCGGAAGTACTGAATGGGTTCTCTGATTTCTACAATTTCATCAGACGCGGGAAGAGAACCTCGCCACGTCGGGACGTCTTTCGCAGAGTCCTCTGACTGCACCGTCTCCCACGACAACCTTCGCCATCGTCTCGCTTCAACAGAGGCCGACCGAGCGCAGGGTGCAGCGGCGCTGGTGCTGGCAGCTGGATCGTTGCTGCCGTCGGACTCTTCGTCACTGCTGCTTTCATCACTTGGTTTTGGTCTGTTGTCCTCATCGCTGTCGTCGCTGTCGCTGAGGCAGCTGTCATCACTTTCCACTGGTGGGACTCTGGTTCGAATCCTGCTGTCCTGCAGAGAGCAGGTGATGATGATGATGATAATGATGATTAGGTTCTGGTTTTAAATATGATTATCGTATTTTCTGGACTATAAGGCACATCTAAAAACCTTCATTTTCCTCAAAAGCCGACAGTGCGCCTTATAATCCGGTGCACTTTATATATCAGGGGTCCCCAAACTACGGCCCGCGGGCCTCCACATTTGGTCCGGCCCCCTGAACAATACCAGAGAGCATTCAGATTTTTTTTCATTTACTGTATTTTCTGGTTTATATGTGGATTTTTCTTCAACCACCAGGTGGCTCTTTAGCAGGAACTGTGGGTGTTTGGATTTTTCTTCAACCACCAGGGGGCTCTTTAGCAGGAAGTGTGTCCTGTAAACTGTGAGGCGCACTGCTGCCATCTGTTGGACTTTTACGAAACTGCTTGACTTTTATGTTATTTAATCAGTTTGCTAGCGGTAGAGCAGATGAACACACGTGTCTGTTATGAACGCCGCATTCCAGGAAGCAATGCCTGTAAGTAGCAGCGTATACTTCAAAACGAGCCTTTATGTTAACATATGAGAAATTAATATGTTAAAGTTACATTCCCTCAATGGAATATATACTAGTCAGTCCCAGTGACCGTTTCACTCATGGGTTTTGCCCATGTGCTTTCTGGGTAAAAATCAATCGATTTCCTGCCCTGCAAATCCGGGAGCTTGATTTCTGTGTGTTTAGAAAAGCGCTATGCAAATAAAATGAATTATTATTATTAAAAGTAGAGGTACAAATCTGCAGTATTCAGTTTTTATTGTACTGTTGCACAAAGTTGTATAAAAAAACTTTTTATAGAAATGGAGTGATTTTAACAAAATGACTTGTTTTCTTATTTGCCTGTTATTTACAACAGGCAAATTATTTTATTGTTTTACAAATCAGTCATGGTCAACAAAATTTGGTTGTTTTGGCAAATAAAATTACAAAAAATCACTTTAAACTTTTATTTAAAAAATGTTTTTTGTTTTTATATTTTTTTCATTTTGGGACAATATGAGATAATTTGTGAAAACATTGATCTCCTCTTCCTCCCTGAGCTACTATTGCCGTCTGACCAAAAACAACCAACCAGAGCCAAGAGGAGGGTCTTAGTGCCGTCAATCAATCTCATGTCCTCGCTGCTAATTGTTCTAATAGTAGAAAAACAACTTATTGTGACAGAAAAAAACATTTATTGACATCATACATGGCTATGCTGGCTAGCAACCACTACAGGATGCGCTAGCTGTAGCGTAGCAGAGACCTAGTGGGGATGAGCAGCGCAACACAGAGTATGATTAACAACGCTTAAATAGTTTAGCAGGAAGAATGGAGGAAAAAGCATCCAGATGTGCCTGATTGAGACATATCCACACAGTCGGTGCTGCTACTAAATACCAATTTGAATGGTGTAAATATTTATGTAGTGAATTATTTTAGGTTTAACATTTCAGTTACTTTGTAGAAATCAGTTTCAATTTTCATTTTTTCTGTAGCAAAAGTCAAATTTAACTGATCATGACTGATTGTTAAAAGTGGCAAAACTTCCAAGGGGGTGAATACTTTTTTAAAAACATTGTTCAGCAATTTGTGTGTGTGAATTTCCTCACCTGTGTTTCACTGCTTTGACGTTTAGATGTTTGTCTTCTGAACAACGAGGGACGGTCTAATCGACACAGAAAGGTGCTGGTTAAAATGTGACTTAGAAATAATTAAAACAACACGTACATTTAAACCAACATCACACAACGGGGACAAATTAGTTTGTTTTTCATACGTATCTGTATGGTTGAACTTCAGGAAGTGAGTCTTTGGAACTGACTTTTCGCTCATTGTTTCAGTTTTAGACTTGTTGAGTTTTACCAACTCTGTTGCCGATTTTGCCTAATTGATCACAGCAGGGCTTCAATCAAAAACCACACAGGACATAAGTAGATTTTAAACTGCAGCAATGCATTCTGGGTACAGAATAAACAACATTTACTGCAAAAGGAGAACGTGGCTCCAGTTTTCCACCAAATCTCTTCATTACTGAAGATTCGAAACTTTCAATTATTTTCTGAACAATGTTAAGAAAAGCCTGAATATCTCAAAAGGTTAAGAGATTTGTAAAACTAATGTTTCACCAAACATCCCACAGCTAGAAAAATGTCCAATTATGTTACATGGAGGTAAAATGTTGCTATTCATGCATGTAAATAAAGTCGTAGCTACAAAGAATTTCAACATTACTGATAAACTACATCTGTTAAAATGTCCACACTTCTGATGGGATGTCACAAATGTTTTGGGGTTTTTTGCCTCGTTTTTATAGAAATGCATGATATATTTGCACCACCTTTAGAATCTGAAGCAAATAGTTTAGTTTCAAATAATTCAAACGGTGAGGAGATTCTGTTTAAAGAGAGGACAACGTGAAACAAAAAAAGGGTTTTATATTAGACTCTGTTACTTAAATTATCAGTATTAGGTTAATTCTACTGTAAGGCATTTTCTTAAGTAAAAAAATTATTCAAATTACATTTTCACAAAAAATTAAAGCAGACTAAAATAAATTTGAGCATTTTGAATCGATTCAGATTTCCCAGGATTGCACCTGTAATACATGATATGTATTTAATTTTAAATATTGGCTATAACTGCAATTTTAATACAGGATATTGATAATGACCCTAATTTTAATTTTGGTATCTTTTACTTTCACAAAAAGACACATCATGCCAAGATCAGGTGATGCACACAAAATGAAATTTAACTGTTTTTACTCGCTTTATTTGCCGTTTAAAACAAAACATAAAGTCAACAAGATTACAAGCATAAGATGAATAAAATGAAACAAAACAGCTTTACTCGCTTAAAAACATCATATCAAAAAGCATATGTGAAATGGCGTAAACGGAGTACTAAAAACAAAAGTTAAAAGTTCTAGTTTCACTTATAACACAAGAAAAATGTTAAGTGAAATAATCTGCCAGTGGTACCGGTACTTTTTCATCAATACTAAGAAATTATTGACTTAAAAACAAAAAAACAGCTCCATTAGCTTGCTGAAAAGTTATGTATAAGTTAGTTTTGTCTTATTTCAAGCTTAGAAACATACTTGGACTAGAAATAGACCAAAGTTGGTAAAAGCATTTTGTGTTTTTGCAGGGCAGCTACTCTAACTGGGCCTTGGTCATGTCCTCCATGTGATGCTGGTTTCCCTTCATAAACATCAGACTCTCAAAGCCAACATCTGACACGCCGGCCCTCAGAATGTCGTGGCTTTGACAGAACAGGTGCCAGACGGCGGCGCTGGACGGGACGGGTGTGTTGTATTTGGTGAACAAGTCGATCAGGACCTGTTCTCCCAGAAAGGCCCGATCCGTCATAGCGTCCTTGGATCCGGCCTCCAGCCAGGTCTTCACCAGGTTCTGAGCCTTCCACTTCAGCGACCTGTGGCTCCTGTCGTCACAGGACCGAGTGATGTTGCTGAAGAAGTCATCTTCCTCCTCCTCCTCCTCCTCGTTGCTGGAGGTGTTGCTGCCCTCCTCACTGAGCGCGCTCAGGGCCGTCTGTACGACCGCCTCCATTGCTTTGGTCACTCTGCCAACCTGGCTGTTGTTGAACTGCTCCAACCAGAACAGACGAAACTTGGGGTGGAAGGCAGCAGCCAGCTGGCACTCCAGGTCCTCCAGGAGTGGCCCAAACCTTTTAGAGATGCCTGCCAGTATGGCGTCCACCAGAGGACCGCAGTGCAGCAGACGCTTCAACTTGACCTCCTTCAGCCTCATCACGGTGGCCGCGACTGTTGGCAGAAGGCTACCGAGGTAGGCCTGGTCCTCCCCCTGGATTTTATCCAAAGCCTTGGCGACGTTACACATCACCTGGACGTATTCACTCAGGAAGCCGACATCAGAGCTGGTGAAGGTCTGGAGCTTCAGCTGCGTCATCACCCTGTTCACAGCATCCCTGCTTTTCTCAAGCAGGCCGTTGAGGACTACAACAGAGTTGTAAGTTGAGTTCCATCTGGTACCGTCGGGGACCGCCAACCTCCTCTTAAACGCTTCAAATATGCAGGCTGCTGCCACCGTGTTGCGGCTCTGCAGGCACCACAGCGCCTGGGCTTTGGACATGGCCTTCCTGTAGGCTGACCTGAACAGGGTGCAGTTCAGAGCCTCGCTGGCATCCACGCTGGCTACCAAATTAAAGGTATGAGCGGCGCACTTCATGTGCACCGGCAGTTTAAGGCCCAGACTGCTGGACTTGTCAAGGGTGGCATCAACGGAGATGTACTCCACGCCTCCGGCCTCAGGATCCACATCCTGGATCCAATCTTCTTCCGACTCGGCAGCGGCTTCAGGAATGTTTGGCAAGAACTCGGCTTCTGCACCGAACTGCACAAACGCCTTCACAAAGTTTTTGCCGTTGTCCGTCGTGGTTCTGGTCACTTTGTCTTGCAGATTGAACTTGGAATGGGTGTCTAGCATGGCCTGGGCGAGAACGTCGGAGGAGTGATGACCTTTGACCCGAGTGCAGGCCAGGAGCGCGTGCCGTCTTGCGCGAGTCTTGGGGTCCAGCCAATGTGCCGTTATGCCCAGGTAGGACTTGTTGTGGGCCGACCAGCAGTCCGCAGTGGTGGCAACCCAGGGGATGTCCTCAAGCAATCTGCATTTAAAAACAAATAATTAATATTTAACATAAATTCACACTGTGTACATAAACTGGAGCACAATATTATCAAATCAGAAACTAATCTCTTATCTGCGTCTCCATGTAAGTTACGTTTCACTCATGCCGCCATGTTTGCTTAGCCTCACAGCAAAATCAATGACCGGTTACCAATTAAAAAATAAAATTAGACTGTTGAACAGGTTAAAGAGTTTGTTTATTAATAATAAGAGGAACGACACACTTGTGAGTTTGAAGCCTAAAACTTCAACCCTATGAATGAGCCTGTTGCAATAAATCTTACCAAACGATAAATCAACCCAGTAATTAATGCCATAAATAATAATATTGTTGTTTTGAGACCATTTTCAAGTAATTCACTGATAATGACGTAATAATGCAAGTTCACCTTCTCAGATAAACTTCAGTTTTGTAAAGAAAACTTGACACTGGAACAAGAAGATATTTTAAATATCCAAAATAAAACCATCAATAAAATGGATTCTGATGTTTCATATATCATTTATTCATCAGAATAGAAATTATTGATCTCATTTTAGTACCATGTGATTAAATTGTTAAATGATTAATTGCAACACATTTACAAACATACAATCTTCAGTGTAAACCATCCTTCTTGGTATTGTTGGTATATTATTTGACACAAATATTAATTGGTTAATTTCAATGTTTTTGTTGCAATAGTGGTAGATGCGTTATTATTATGCTCTGTAACTTTCTGCTTGGTGTAAATGACTATTAATCGATAAACTGAATAAATGTATTGAAATGTTTTGAGTTTTCAACATCACCTAATGAAACAAAATAGGAAGTAATAACCACCTTAATAGGGACTGACTATAAATGTTGGTTGACTGAAACTGTTTTCAAACATTGTCGTCTGGTGGACTCTGTCCGATTTGATGACCTGTTTACAAATGTAGAGTTTGTAGTTGGTGTGATTTGCTTTCTCACTGCACTGTCAAACAATTCAAACACTTAGAAAAACTGTTCCTCCCATCACTCCAATCTGTTGTTTTATAAAGGTCAAACTAGACAATCATTAAACCATAAAGTACGCCATTCCAAAAATAAGAAAACTTACCTTATGAGATGCTCTTCCAGCTGATCGTGGCTGGCCAAGATGCTCCTGCTCAGGATGTGGCGGGACATAGACGTCATGCTGGGGTTCAACATCCTTATCAGGCCAACAAAGGTGGGGGACTCCACCACGTGTAACGGTAGCAAGTTGTGGACAAACAGGTCCATAATCTGTTTGTCCACCATAGACTGGCTGACGTCAGTCCCAGCAGTTTTGGAAGAAGTTTCACCAAAGCTGGGCTGCCGCGCTCTCTTTGCACATGGCTGTGATGACTGGCTACTAGCGCTGCTGCTAACAGATAGCCTGTGTTTCCCACGCGAAGAGCCGGCCTTAATGTCCTCCTCAAACTGGGTGGCATGCGCCGGATGCTTCCGGTTGATATGCGACTTTAAATTGTACAGACTCTTCGCTTGTCCCTTGATGGTGATCTTCTTGGGTTGGCACAGGACGCACTGGAAGTGGAGGGTTTTTTCGTTGGACTTATCCCTGGCCTCGAAAAAAAAGTAGTCCTTCAGGTGGGGCCACGGGTGAGACTCCAGGCTCTCAACCTCAGCGAACTTTGCCTCACCTACAGCCGCTGTTGTCGACTCCTCTTCTACACGCGGATCATCCACGAAATAAACGCTTTGTAAGCGAGCTGAAAACAACGGAAGACTGCAGCGTTACACAATGCTTCGTTTAGCTTCCCAGCACTGAGTCGAACAATCACGTCTTGTCACATGACACATGGTAAGCTAACCACCGTTGGCGCGTTGTGTCAACCAATCACGACAACTCATCTTCAACGAAATTATTTTTTTTTTCTTTGGTAAACTTTTTTTCAGCTGAAAGTTTACAAAATAGTTAAAATAGCGCTTTAGGATTTGTCTGTAAAACTTAATTTAGGGAAAGCTAATTGCACTAAACATTTTCAAAGTTAGCAAAGAAGGTTAAACAAAATATTAGAGGATTAGTGAATGTGTTTGTGACATGCAGCCTGTATGAGTCGTGTACAAACACACTGGTAGTAGTGTGTCTGTACTAGATCATGTTAGTTAAAAAAATCATAGTTTATATAAAAACATATATTTTATTGTCATATGACAAGTAAATATTTTTTGTAAGATTTTCCACAAAAATGGGAAAGTAACTCACCTGTGTGGATCCTCCTGCGTTTCCTGCCATCTTGAGGAAAAAACCCATCATGCATTTCTCCAGAGAACAGACTTTTCCAATATTTCCCATTTGGCTCCAGGTCGTCGTCTTGCTTTAACTGCGAGTCGTTTTCTTCCTGAACCTGGTTCTCAGCTTCAGCAGCATCCTGGAGGTCCAGTTGGTTCCCGTCTGGTTCAAAGTGGTATTTTTCTTCGTTTACAGGAGAAACCTCAAAGGTATACGTCTTCCACTTCAGCAGAAGATGATCTTCATCCTGACTGACACAGAGTTCCTCGTCTTCCTCTTTTATTTGGGAAGCTTCAAACTCCTGCTGCTCTTCTTTAAGGTCTGGGGGATTTCGTTCCTCCTGGTCCCCTCTCATCCGTTGACGTTCTGCCCCGTCTTGCTCTTCTTTAATCTGCAGAGGTTCTGCTTTCTTCTGGTGCGAACTGAAGTCCCTCTCTTGCTTGCTGAGCTGCTCCATTTCAACATAATACTATAGTTGTAGAAAGGAAAACAGGAAAAAATAAAAAAGCACATTATAGTAGGTCAAATAAACCACACTGTCATTAGTCTATGCATTATTTAGCACCACAACATTAAACAATATGCATATAAATACAGTGGATCAACAAGTACACAGCAGATATAGCTGCATAGTACCGTATATTCTGGACTATAGAGCATTCCTCACTATAAGCCGCACCCACAAAGTTAAAAAAAAAAAAAACCTCTGGCGCTCTCGGTTTTCCACAACGATGCAGCAGAGGGGGGCAGACAACCCAAAATTTGAGTCATAACAGGTCAATTCAACATCACATTAATTTGTAAACAAATTAAGGTTGAAAAAGTTGCCAAGTTTAGTTTTAACTGAAGTAATTACGGTAGTTTCCGAACGGTGCCTGTAACACAGTAAAAGAGCTGATGAAACAAAACAGAAAAGTTATTGATTGGCTCATTCATCTTCCTCCTGAAGTCATCTTCTCCAGTGTCGGAGTTGAACAGCTTCGTCACATACCTTTTCTGTCTCTATGTCAGTGTTACTCTCCGTGTTGCAGTCATCCCGGGGTAAAGCTGGCTCTGAAGCTGTGGTGCCCTCTTCACGCAGCAGTCCGGCCTTTCGGAACCCACTGATGATGGTGGATTCATTCATTCTGCTCCACGCTGCTAGGATCCACTGACAGACCTCAGAAAATGACGCTCTTCGCATTCGGCCAGTTTCTGTGAAGGATTTATCCCCGCTACTCATCCAAGCCTTCCTTTCACCCCTGAATGCTGCTTTAAATGCCCGATTCACACTGATGTCAAGGGGTTGCAAATACTTTTCTGTACCTCTAGGAATAACAGCGGGAATTGAGCTGGTTCTTTTGATGGCTGCTTTCACCGAATCGGTGATGTGGGCCCTCATACTGTTCAAAACAAGCAGCGCTTTTTTCCTGCGAAAAAATCCTCCTGAGCGCTTTCCGTAGCACTCCGTTAGCCACTCCTTCATCAGATATTCTGATAGCCGTCCTCTCTGGTTGACTTTAACTACAATGTCCTTCGAGAGTTGGTCTTTCGGCATAGTTTTGCGCTTGAAAATCACCATCGGGGGGAGCTTTTGTCCAGAAGCGGTGCAGCCCAGGACACAAGTGAAATTTGTCCTCTCGTGTCCGTTGGTTTTCTCCGAAATGGATGATGCACACGTCTTGGTCAGAGACATGTCAAATGTCAATGGCACTTCACCCATATTTATAATGTTGTCTGGTCCGATGGCGTTCTCCACGATCTTTGCTTCAACAAATTGTCGGAAATTTGTAACTTTTTCCTGGTAGTCCAGGGGGAGTTGCTGAAAGAGAGGTGTCTCTGCCCTGATGGACAGGTTCTTTCTTCTCATAAATCTCAAACACCAGGACGGTCCTCCATTAAAATTGTCAATATTCATTTGGCGGGCAATTGATTTGGCATTCAGCCGGATTTGCAAGGTGGATACACCTCGGCCGCCTGCTCTCTGAGTATTTACCCAATCCTCAAGAACATCTTCAAGTTCAGGCCACCTGCTTTCTTGTCCTCTGAAAGCCTTTCTCGTCTTTTGGCATTTAGTGAGTTCTACCTGCTGCTGTCTCCAACGCCGAATCATTGATTCATTCACGCCGAGTTTAAGTGCAGCGGCTCTATTTCCCTCCAGTACTGCCAGGTCGATGGCCTTCAACTTAAAAGCAGCATCATATGAAGTTCTTCGTGTGATTTCCATAATGAAGGGGTATGAGTTTGAAAGAAAAGCTCCTTTGTGCCTGTTGCTAGCTCGTGTTTGTGCTAAATGAAAACCGGAGCTTTCTTCTTTGATTTCCAACTTCGACGTCCTATGATTCACTTCCTGCTAAAGAGCCCCCTGGCGGTCAAAGAAAAACACACAGAAAAGTCGCACCTTCGCATAAGCCGCATGGTCCAACGCAAGTCAAACAGGTTTCATATTACTGGTTACTTACAACTTTATATTATTTCATATTTAGCCTTTCATTCTTGCTAATATACCGTATGAAACATGTCTAACCATTCCAATGTAGATGAAGGGTGGCTAATGTTAGCAACACAATCCCGATATTGCCTCCATTTTCTGGAGACAAAACACTTTGGGGAATTTGTTAAAAACTAGATATTAGCTTAATATGCGTGTAATCGGTTTAATGCTAAATAAGCCATCAAAAACACTAATAAACAGCAAACTAACACCGCAGACTGTAGACGGGCAGCCATATTGGATACCAAGCACATTGCTCAGCGAACGGAGACTTTGGTATTCGCAATAACAACTTCCAGGGGTGTTATTGTTTTACTTCCAAGTCGTAAGTGGCACAAAATTGTTTAATCCATCTCTGAAACCCTCACGAAAACTCGTATATTAATAATCTGAGACGGAAAACAGGCGAGAACAAAAACATCGGAACTGCATTCAACAACTTCTCCTAAATGTTCTCAACACCGGTGTTTCAAATCTGTTCGGTAGATTATCTAGTGTCCGTCGAGCTCTTCCTCGAACTCGACGATGATTTCTTTATATAGTGTGGATCTTAACTACTGCTTAATGAAATATATCTGAAGATGAACTGAAGACACTCAGTCTACATAACACTCACCTACTCTTTCCTCAAAGTAACACAAAAAAAATAAAACAAAGTAACGACGCTGGCGCGTTGTTCCTCCCAAAGCGTATCGCTGCAGAACATGGAGAGAAATTTCACCCGGAAACAAAATCTTCCGCTCGGGTTCATTTCAAAGGCCCATTACTGACTCCTACTGGATTGGATGGTGAACAGAGCAGGAGACAGAAATAAATATTTTACTCTTTACTAAACAAAAGTTCTCCCTTATATTTTTTTTAAATTCATAATTATGCATTTACATTTATATGTATTATTTAGGTGTGTAGCTGAGGTGATTCCACTTCGTTAAACAGTTACAGTGATTTAAAAAGACTGTTTTTACATTTGAATGTTCAAAGATAGAATATTCAGCCACGTAGTGTCCAGAAACGGTAGTTTGTCATTGATGAAACATAACTTTTACCAACAACGTAACAACACAATGAAACATAACTTTTACCAATTAAATTAGATTTAATTTCTATTTCTTTGAAATTTTGCGAAGTAACAAAAATACCAGGCAGCAGAGACATCCACTATGGGAGTCTGTAATATCCTACATTATTGGTTGCTGTACTAACCAATAGAACATTTTCCATTGATTATTGTTAAGTGTATGAATAACTGCATATAACATATCTTTTTTTCATGTAAATAAAAAGCAAACTTTTTTCCCCCTTTACACCTTCTCGTGTTTTGGAAAAAGCATACATCATTTTTGGCTAGAAAGAATGTTGTTGTAGCAGACAATTAATAAATATTAGAAATATCCAAGTTACAAAATAAACGTACCTTGTGCCTCTATCAAGGGGGCCGCTAATAAAATATACATTTTATGTCGCCACTTCTTCCGTTCCTTCTGTTGCCAACTGCCGCTGCACAACATAAGCAGCGGAAGTTCTCTCGTCAAAATGAAAGCATTAGATTTATAAACCGGAAGTCAACTAACAAAATAAAGGCAATTAGTGCTAAAAAGGAACATAAATAAGGAGCTTAACCTAAGGTTATTTACAGTTGTTTACATTTATTCAAATGAAAATGGAAAACAAATTCACAAAAATCAGGAATATAAACTATTTGAAAACTCAATTTTATTTAATTTTATGTTAATTCATTCACTTTAACCGTGCATGTTCTCATATACAATTCAGAAAAAAATCCTGTGCTCAATGAACAAATGAAGCATTAGTAAACCATACCAATAACATTCATATCCATTGTACACAATTTAAAACATTAAACATATTGTTTAAATCCTCATTAGCATATATAAACACACAGAATTAGGTTAGAGTAAGTTATCTCTGTGAGTAATTACTTCAAAAGAAACAAGTAATTATCAAACAGATTTTTAGATTTATGGTTAATGGTTAACATTAATTTAAATCAACAGCGTCTGAATGTGTGCATGAATGAATGACTGAATGTCGTGGGAAGTGTTTAGGGTCCTCAGGACTAAATAAAGTTCTGCACAAGTAGACATTTTAATACCTTGATTAATTTAATTTCTCAAATACTGTTAGTAAAGCAGGAAAAACGTTAAAGATTTTATGTCTCCAAGCTAAATTTTGACATTAATCCATCACAAAAAGATGAAAATCTACAGGAAAAACAACTGCAGCAGGAATTAAAGAAATTTAAAACAATGGTTAAATTACAAAGTGTTTTAAAGACAAAAAAGAGCCAGAATTATCTCTAAACCTTTGCAGAATTAAGAACATCACCTCAAATTCACTGAATATTAGTTGGTGCTGAACTTTACACTTGAAAGTCGTCAATTAAAGTTCAACGGTTACATTATTAGAAGGGGAACTGCAGATTTTAGTGTTTTTTTTCCCCTTGAAAAACATTTTATCAATAGTCAAACTTTGAAAAATGACACCAGCACAGTTCCTGAAAGTATCAGAAATTTCTGATACTATTAAGCTCTTGTGCCAGATATTGCTCACTTGATTTATGATTTACGAATGACAAAAGGAAGATCTGAGAGGAAGTTATCTCTACCAGGAGTGTTTTGTGAGAAAGGTTTTTTGAAATATTTTCTGCTGTTTGTTTCTAATAAAGGCGCCTAACCCCCTTGACTCTTTAAATAATGTAATTTACTTTTTTAACTGTTGATTTTCACAGTTGGCTTTTTTTCCCCAAACATTTTTCACAAATTACACACGAAAATGTTTCTCACCTTTGTGAGTCATCATGTCTAGCAAGAGACCGAATTCTCACTCACATGATTTCTCATGTGAAGAATTAAATTACATTTTTTACAGAAACGTTTTTCACAAATATTGCAGGAGAAAGGTTTCTCCCCTGTGTGAATTCTCATGTGGACGGTTAAATGGCATTTTTTACAGAAACGTTTATCACAAACGTTGCATGAGAAAGGTTTTTCACCCGTGTGAATTCTCATGTGGACAGTTAAATGACATTTTTCACGGAAACGTTTTCCACATACTTTGCACAAGAACGGCCGCTCACCTGTGTGAATAGTCATGTGTTCCATTAAAGACAGTTTGTATTGGAAACTTTTCCCACACAGCGTGCAGGAGAAAGGCCTGTCACCTGTGTGAGTTCTCAAGTGAACAGATAAATGACTTTTTTGAGTGTAGGTTTTTCCACAGATGACGCAGGAAAAAGGCCTGTCACCTGTGTGAACTCTCATGTGAAGATTAAGAAAAGCTTTTGCACAGAAACCTTTTCCACAAATCTCGCAGGAGAAAGGCTTTTCCGCAACGTGAGTTCTCACGTGAACGGTTAAACTACTTTTCCGGCTAAAGCTTTTCCCACAAATCTTACAAGGAAAAGGCCTGTCACCAGTGTGAATTTTCATGTGTTCAGCTAAAAAGTCTTTTTCACAGAAACCTTCTCCACAAATCTTACACGAGAAAGGGTCTTCGCCTGTGTGACTTTCCATGTGAAGAGTCAAACGGCCTTTACGACAAAACGTTTTGAAGCAAATCACACAAGCGAAACGCTTCCCACCTGTGTGGGTCATCGTGTGGCGACGTAAATCAGCTTTTAGACGGAAATCTTTCCCGCAAACCTTGCACAGGAAAGGCCTCTCACCTGTGTGAACGCTCATGTGATCTGTCAACAAACCTTTTTCAATGAATCCTTTTTCACAAATCTTGCAAGAGAAAGGTCTCTCACCTGTGTGAGTTCTTGTATGAATGGTTAAATGTCCTTTCTGACTGAAACCTTTTCCACAAAGGTTGCACAAGAATGGCTTCTCACCTGTGTGAGTTCTCATGTGAATATCTAAATGACATTTTCGACTGGAAGTTTTTCCACATATCTTACATGAAAAAAGTCCGTCATCTGTGTGAATTTTCAAGTGTTTTGTCAATAAACTGTTTTTAGTAAACGTTTCGTCACAAATTCCACAAGGATACAAACTTTTATCTTGAGTTTCAATGAGCTGATTTTGTTTTATAGTATGATTCTCATCATTATTTTGCTGCAGCTCTTCATCTCTTTCTGATTCTGAGTCTTTGGGAGTCACCATGAAGACATCAGTCTCCCATTTCACCACAACTTGCTCTATTTCCTGACTCTCCTGCTCTTCTTTTAACTCCTGACGTTCCAGATCCCCCAGCTCTTCTTTTATCTGCTGACATGGCAGCTCCTCTTGCTCTTCCTTTATCCTCAGTGGTTCCTCCTGGTCCAAATTAGAGATGTTCTCTTGGTTAAACAGATGCTCCTCCTTCACTTTGTCAGGATGCAGGAAGTCTGGTCAGGGAAGCAAACAGAAGCTTTTTATCAAAAATAGAATTTGAGACAAGTTTTCCTAAAATCATCTTAAAAACTGAGTAAACATTATGTTTATGATGAACTAACTTTATCTATACAAGGATAAAGTTAGTGAGTAGGATTGGACGATGTGGTTGAAAAACTTGAAACGATCAAGTGTTTCAGACCAGTCGATATCAATAATTGTCAATACTGATCATTATTTATTCTGATTTTTTTGTTACAAATATATAAATGCTGCCAGATTGGTGGCATGACCATAACTTTTATCCAGTTTTCACGCCACTCTGTTGTTTATTTAATTATTTTTAATCAGCTATGAGGAACAGTGGTGGAAATTTAAACTGCTGTTGCACAAGTTACTCAACAGGTTGTTGTAAAGTAACCATAGAATGAGTGGGTTGCTAGGCGTTCAATGACTGTCTAATTTTTCTTCAGAGCTACTGTCACAAATTGGTGTGTGGGGACAACACAATCAATAATAAACAAGGTATTGTTCAAAGTATCTTATGTTATACATTTCCATAAAGAGTAAATTCTCAAAATTTGTGACGGATGCTTAACAAAATACAAAATGTAGAGGACATATTTCTGGTTATCTTCCCAATTCCAGTTCAACATTTCAATGTATCCTGCCAAAGATATCCTAAAGTTTGTTCTATTTCCCATAAGCACTAGTGGCGTGATTTACAGGCTTTAATCATCAGATAAGACACTGAATACTTTTGCAGCAGGGTGTTGCTCTTTGTACCACAGTCGCCATAAACGATTAAGGCCAAGGCTATAAAAGTCGGCGTGTTTTGCTTAAAACGGACAGGCAGTCTGCTGTCCAGCTCGCTGCAAATGTTTTAACGTCGCTTCCTTTGGGATGAAACCGCCCATCCGTCCATCTTTACCGAACCGCATTAAACCCCGTTTGGCCATCTGAGGAGTAAACCAGCGAATAAGGTCTCTTCATTTCACGATTACTTTCCCCTTTATCGACACGTTTATATGTCTAAATAGTGGGGTCTCCATTATTAAAAAGCTTCAGAAGCTACTACTTTAAACTACATTGAGCCATTCTTTTCTTAATTACAGGTTAGCACTTCAGGCGTTTCGTACCTATTCGGTGTAAGATAATCTGGGGTGTTCGGGTTAAACCCAGCAGTCTGCGCTGATCATCCACCTCCTCTTCGGCCTTCACGATGGTTGTTTTGAACTCTGCTAATGTTTCTTCAGCGGAAGTTAACTGTTCGTTCATGAACTCTCTTTCGGGGTGAACTGAAGACATTTTTACAGCTGAATCAAAGAGCATACGAGTCTCCAAAAAGACTCCAATATAAATGTTGCTGTCGTGTCTTTCACCATCTCATCCCATTTCTTAGTTTTTCTTCTTCTGCTCCTCTCCTTTGTGCTTCATAGCGCGTGGCAGACCAACTGCAAGGCGCCTTACCGCCACCTGCTGGACTGGATGAGAAATAGCGAAAACAGAGGAAACGACAAAAAAAACCCACTTTGTAACGTTAACAATTTTTTGCTAAGGTGTAAGTATACCACGTTTGGTTTTCATGGTAAAAAAATACTAACATAAGTAGAGGATTGGCAATTAATACAAATGTTCACCATCTTCACTCCTTTTTGCAGTTTAGATTAAGGAAATTGAATGATTTGTCCACTATTCCCATATGTGAACACAAATGAATGTTATCAGTAATTGAATATTTTTAATTTGATATAATGTCTGTCTTTTGTTTAATTTTTTGTTTGTTTTTGTACCATAGTATTTACTGTGGAAGTACACATCTCTGCAATACTTTTTCATATCCTGTATTCTTGTAACAGGTGGGAACTATTAAAGCATCTAGACCTAATGAGATTCTGGCAATAGATTTTACAGTTTTAGAACCTGCTACAGACGGCAGAGAAAATGTCCTTGTAATGACTGATGTTTTCTCAAAGTTTACACAAACTGTCCCCACAAAAGATCAGCGTACCAGTACTGTTGCAGAGGCACTGGTGAAGCACTGGTTTCAACTTTTTGGGCCCCCTGTCCGGATTCATTCTGATCAGGGGAGAAATTTTGAGAGCATTCCATGTTTTCTGTTAAAGTTTCGTGCAACCATGCGACTGCTTCCCGATCCAGCCATCAGTATAATTCACTTCTTTCCTCTTTTGTCAACCGCATCTTCTTGGGTATCTGAAATATAAATTAAATATACATTTAAAATTCTCCTATGTATGGAAACTTATGGCCCACCCTGTATAAATCTTCAGCGTCTGGTTTACACTCCCTCCCAGTAGGTGGCGGTAAAGCACTTTAAGTGGTTCGCCAACCGCCACAAGACTAGAAGAAGAAAACAACTTCGGTTCAACCCATAGACATAATATAAGGATAGACGCCTCATGGACCGCTGTCGCCTATTGTCGCTGACGAGATTTAGGGCGGCCATCTTGGAGCGGTACACCACTCCACTCAGCGTTATGTGTTTAGCAGCACAATGACGTATCAGCGCATTTAATCGATCATAACACGCTTTTTTGTTACTGGAAGCCATATTCAAACATCTATCAAAGCAACATTTATAAACAATACATAGTTCATCATATTTAAATATGCTTAGTGGCTATAACAATAGAATAGAATATTCTGATATCGATGTATGAAGAGCATATTACAAAGCATACAGCCATTCATAATTTATTTAATACATTATTTAGTAATATCAATACATATCTATATAACTATACAAACACTAATAAATAAAGATTAATACTGAATAATATATACATGTTTATATATATGTTTGTTTTTCAGCCGACGAGTCCAAAATCCGAAGTGAGATTCATCCGTGCTGCAGTGAATCCGTCTGTCTTTATAGATTTCTCCCTCTTCTTCCTCACATCGTGTCTTTATGAAACTTTCAAAACAAAAACAGAAGATTTGGGATGCATCTTACTTTTGACAGAGTTAAAGAATTACATATAAATAATAGTCTTTACCACTTGTGTAAACTTTGCTGGTCAATGTTATAACACATAATATAAGTTTTATGTGTTGTTTCATTTCTAATGTAGGCTCTTGTGTCAGATAATCTAAGTCAATGTTAGAGAATAATTAATTTGTTTAGATTTACGGAATCTCAGTTAGCCTTCATAGCGGGGCTGAACCCGTATTACACCCAGCACTGTAGCTAATATTAGCTGGTATCTCGCCGGTGGACATGAATACAGTAAAGTAATATTCTAATCACAATATATACACTATAATATGTCAATCTTACTTGTGAAATGTTGTATGTGGAGCCCTCACACAAATAATTCATAGATGCGATCAACAATATCCCTCAGTGCTGAGGCATCTTCTGCTGTTTTGATTGAACAAAGCAGGAGGGAATACCGCTCCAAGATGGCCGCCGTATTTCCTGTGCCGGAGTGGCCAATTCGGGGTCTATTCTTATATTATGTCTATGTTTAACCCTAGAAAGGAAAGAATAATAGCAAGGTTAAGATTTGGACATACAAGACTTATACACTTTTTAAAATTCAAAAACATAAAACTGGCAAATGTGATTACTGTGATAAATATGAAACCATAGAGCATGTTATATTAGAATGCCATAACTATGAAAAAGAGAGAATATATATGAAGAGAGAGTTTGAAAGTATTAAGGACAAGGTTAATTTATTACATATATTGAGGAAAAATTTAGGGAGTAAACATATGCAAATAATTATTCAATTTCTAAAGAAAACAAAATTATTTCATAGAATTTAATTATAGTAAGTGTGTTTGTGAGTGAAGGGATAATATACAAAGTTGTGTGGGAAGTTGTGTTTTTACGTGTGAATGTATGAGTGTATGTTTAGATAGAATATATGTATATATAGATGAGGATAAATATTTAAACCATCAGGAACCACACTCCATACCAGTAAGTGGCGGTAATGCTACTAACTAAGAACTAAGAACTAAGAAGAAGAAGAAGAAGAACCCTAGAGAGAGAGAGAGAGAGAGAGAGAGAGAGAGAGTTGATCAGTGAGCAGTTATTTCCTGCTTAAGAAACATTCACAGTTTTTAAAAAAAAAGTATCGTGAAGTCCGACGACGAGATGGATGGTCAGCCCAGACTGGTGAACGTAACCTGGACTCCCCAGATCATCTTGCTTCGAACAGGTTTGAAACACCGGCGATGCTAACATTTTTACTGATAGAAGAATTAAAAGAAACAAATTTAGACAAGACCGTTGTTTAAAGTGTTACTTGATGAAACTTTGGCGCGCTGCGCTTCCGATGTTTTGTATTTGTTTTCGTGTTGACAGAGGACTTCTCTTCTTCTGCCCCTCTTATTTTTCTCCTTAGCAATCTTTGTATTTCCATTTTGAAATCTGCCTCTTATGCCTTCTACAGAGTTGCACTGTTGTATTTGCCTTTCTTGTTTGTACTTACCTTGTTTAAATAAAGTTTGATTTAAAAAAAAGTGTTGACAGAGGGCTGCGAGCTACCGCATAGACATAATATAAGAGTAGACCCTGCATTGGCTGCTCCGGCGCAGGAAATACGGCGGCCATCTTGGAGCGGTCGTCCTTCCTACTTTGTTCAACCAAAACAGCAGAAGATGCCTCAGCAATGAGGGATATTGTTGTTCGGATCGATGGACTATTGATGCGAGGGCTCCACAGACAACATTTCACAAGTAAGATGGACATATTATTGTGTATATTTTGTGATTAGAATATTACTTTACTGTATTTATGTCCACCGGCGAGATACCAGCTAATATTAGCTACAGTGCTTGGTGTAATACGGGTTCAGCCCCGCTATGAAGGCTAACTGAGATTCTGTAAATATATAAAAATTAATTATTCTCTAACATTGACTTAGATTATCTGACACAAGAGCCTACATTAGAAATGAAACAATATAACGCATATTATAAAACTTATATTATGTGTTATAACATTGACCAGCAACGTTTACACAGGTGGTAAAGACTATTATTTATATTCTTTCACTCTGTCAAAAGTAAGATACATAAATACAGTAAAGTAATATTCTAATCACAATGTATACACAATAATATGTCCATCTTACTTGTGAAATGTTGTCTGTGGAGCCCTCACATCAATAATCCATAGATCCTAGCAACAATATCCCTCAGTGCTGAGGCATCTTCTGCTGTTTTGATTGAGCAAAGTAGGAGGGTATACCGCTCCAAGATGGCCGCCGTATTTCCTGCGCCGGAGCGGCCAATGCGGGTTCTACTCTTATATTATGTCTATGGAGCTACCGCACATGTAGTTCAGCTGAAGGACCCCGCTTAGTTGCCCTTGTCGATGCCGTTGACTTTACGGAAAAATAACGTATTTGCACACCAGGAAATTACTGTTTTATTTCATGGGGATATGTATTTATTTAATAGAATTTTTATTAATACTTTTTAACAACAGTGTTTATTTATTTAACTGAGTGTATTGTGTTAAAAATGTTTTACAGGCGTTAGTCAGTGATAAAAAGGCAACTATTGAGTCCTGTACAAAAAATTTGTAGTTAAAAAAAAAAAAAAAAATCAATCTTAAAGATACAACTTCCATAAAACGAGGATAGATTTATATATGGAAAATTTAGTGACAAAAATGGATCTAAAAATAAATTACTGCTAACAAGTGTAAATTTGTTGGTGCGAATTTAATTGAAATATTAAAAGGAGTGAAAAGGGCTTAAACATGCATTTGGTATTATCTGAAAAAATGTATTGGTTCTTAATTTTAGCCCAAGTTATTAAGAAAACATTCTGAAGGTCCTAAGAGCAACAAGTTGCAGACCCCAGCGATAAGTTAACCTGTGACAACTGTTCATGGCCTTATTTACAGGCCAAATGAAGATGCTGAAATCAAAACACATCAAATCTGGAGCTTGTGCTTCAGACCCTTCCAAATTCTTGAAATTTGAATCTGGATAAATTGAACATTTTGACATAAAATGTGTGTAACTCATACATTTCCTTTGATTACAATATGTACTTTCTTTTACTCATTTAAAAACTTGTTTTGTGTCTTTGTTTCTGTCCAGATCTTCCCCTGTATTACATCTGTCAGGGAGCGGGAGTGTTTATGAACCAGCAGCCAGTTTACCAGGAGAGGAGCTCCAGTTTAGCACAGCAGGAACCAGAACCTCTGCAGATTAAAGAGGAAGAAGTGGAAATGGAGAATCCTCAAATACAAGAGAAGCATAAGGAACTTAAAAATGAACAGATTAAAGAGGAAGAACAAGAACTTACCTTAACTGATGGGACCAGTCGAGATGAAGAGAAGCTTAACTTGAAGACAGCGACTGAGGCCTTAATAGAGACTCCTGCATTTGAGGAAAAAGATCACAGTGATCCAGAACCAAAAAGCAACATTGTAGTCTCCCAGATCATGACTGAAACTGAGAACCAAGATCGGGAAGAAAGCAATCCTGAAGACGAAGAATCAAGCGGAAATGAAGAGAAAATCAAACAGCTTAATGAAAATTCTACAACTTTAGTGTTAAAAAATAGCGAGGAAATTCACACAGACAATGTGTATTCTTGTGTAATTTGTGATGAATCTTTCTCTGAAAAAAAATTATTGACTAAACACACAAGAATTCACAGAGTAGAGAAACCTTTCTCGTGTAAGACTTGTCAAAAAGTCTTCAGTAAAATAAGTAAATTAGCTTGTCACATGCGCTCTCACACAGATGAAAGGCCTTTCTCGTGCGATACCTGTGGAAAAACGTTTGCTTATAAAAGTACTTTAAATAAACACGTGAAAACCCACGCACCTCGAACGCCACACATGTGCAACATATGTGGGAAGACTTTCATCCAGAAAAATGCTTTAACCTGTCATGTCAGATTCCACACAGGTGAGAAACCTTACTTGTGTAATGCTTGTGGAAACACTTTTTCTCAAAAAGCTACTTTACATCGTCACATGAAAAGTCATGTTGCTGAGAAACATTTCCCGGGAGGGGGAGTATTTATGAACCAACAGGCAGTTTACCAGGAGAGGAGCTCCAGTTTAGCCCAGCAGGAACCAGAATCTCTGCAGATTACAGAGGAAGAACAAGAACTTACCTTAACTGATGGGACCAGTCGAGATGAAGAGAAGCTTAACTTGAAGACAGCGACTGAGGCCTTAATAGAGACTCCTGCATTTGAGGAAAAAGATCACAGTGATCCAGAACCAAAAAGCAACATTGTAGTCTCCCAGATCATGACTGAAACTGAGAACCAAGATCGGGAAGAAAGCAATCCTGAAGACGAAGAATCAAGCGGAAATGAAGAGAAAATCAAACAGCTTAATGAAAATTCTACAACTTTAGTGCTAAAAAATAGCGAGGAAATTCACACAGACAACAATGTGTATTCTTGTGTAATTTGTGATGAGTCTTACTCTGAAAAAAAATTATTGACTAAGCACACAAGAATTCACAGAGTAGAGAAGCCTTTCTCATGTAAGACTTGTCAAAAAGTCTTCAGTAAAATAAGTAAATTAGCTTGTCACATGAGCTCTCACACAGATGAAAGGCCTTTCTCGTGCGATACCTGTGGAAAAACGTTTGCTTATAAAAGTACTTTAAATAAACACGTGAAAACCCACGCACCTCGGACGCCACACACGTGTAACATATGTGGGAAGACTTTCATCCAGAAAAATGCTTTAACCTGTCATGTCAGATTCCACACAGGTGAGAAACCTTACTTGTGTAATGCTTGTGGAAACACTTTTTCTCAAAAAGCTACTTTACATCGTCACATGAAAAGTCATGTTGCTGAGAAACATTTCCCGGGAGGGGGAGTATTTATGAACCAACAGGCAGTTTACCAGGAGAGGAGCTCCAGTTTAGCCCAGCAGGAACCAGAATCTCTGCAGATTACAGAGGAAGAACAAGAACTTACCTTAACTGATGGGACCAGTCGAGATGAAGAGAAGCTTAACTTGAAGACAGCGACTGAGGCCTTAATAGAGACTCCTGCATTTGAGGAAAAAGATCACAGTGATCCAGAACCAAAAAGCAACATTGTAGTCTCCCAGATCATGACTGAAACTGAGAACCAAGATCGGGAAGAAAGCAATCCTGAAGACGAAGAATCAAGCGGAAATGAAGAGAAAATCAAACAGCTTAATGAAAATTCTACAACTTTAGTGTTAAAAAATAGCGAGGAAATTCACACAGACAATGTGTATTCTTGTGTAATTTGTGATGAATCTTTCTCTGAAAAAAAATTATTGACTAAACACACAAGAATTCACAGAGTAGAGAAACCTTTCTCGTGTAAGACTTGTCAAAAAGTCTTCAGTAAAATAAGTAAATTAGCTTGTCACATGCGCTCTCACACAGATGAAAGGCCTTTCTCGTGCGATACCTGTGGAAAAACGTTTGCTTATAAAAGTACTTTAAATAAACACGTGAAAACCCACGCACCTCGGACGCCACACACGTGTAACATATGTGGGAAGACTTTCATCCAGAAAAATGCTTTAACCTGTCATGTCAGATTCCACACAGGTGAGAAACCTTACTTGTGTAATGCTTGTGGAAACACTTTTTCTCAAAGAGCTACATTAAATCGTCACATGAAAAGTCATATTGCTGAGAAACGTTTCCCGTGTTCAATCTGTGGAAGAGGTTTCAATCTGCAATATTCTTTAAATATTCACATGAGAACTCACACAGGTGAGAAGCCTTTCCCATGTGTGTCCTGTGGAAAACATTTCACTCAGAAAAGTAGTCTAAATTTTCACATAAGAAGTCGCACATGTCAGACTTCTGGTCAAAGCCACGTGCCAACTAACACGTCTAAGAGACGTTTCCCTTGTGTGTCCTGTGAAAAAACGTTCAACAAAAGATCGGAGGTCACACGTCACATGAGGTCTCACACGGGTGAAAGGCCTTTCTCTTGTACGACGTGTGGAAAAGGTTTCAGTGTAAAAATGGCTCTAAAACTTCACATAAGAGTTCACACAGGTGAGAAGCCTTTCACCTGTACGATCTGTGGAAAAAGTTTCAGACAAAAACATAAATTAACTTGTCACATTAGAGATCATAATGGCGAGAAGCCTTTTGCATGCCTGGTCTGTGGAAATGCTTTTGCAAGAAGGTATTCGTTGAACTATCACCTGCAAACCCACCACGATAAAGTGTAACCATGTAATATTTTCAAGCATTGGGGTGTTGATTAACTCACAACTTAGAAGCTGGAATAACTGAATAATAATCACAGTTAAGTTCATAACCTCTTTTTTTATTTTTTAAGTAGCGACTTTAGTATATATTTTACTTCCAATGAGAAGAATGTAATATTTTCTAGAAACTTCCTATTCTAAAGGATTAAAAACTGAAATATAAGTAGGCAGTACATCTTAGCTGAAGAATAAAGGTGTATGAAATTGTGGACAAGAATTTTGTTATCTGCTTTGTGTTTTCAACCTTCCAGTCGGTTGTGTCAGATACCCACGTTGTGGTTCTGCTGGAGGTTTCTTTATGTCTCCACTGTTGCCACATGCATGCTAGGTGTGAGAGATTACCGGAAAGTCGACTGAATACTGCAATGTAATCTGCTGGGATTCCTTTGAAATAGAAAACTTTCTAATCTTATTTGAATAATTAAGTGAACTTGATACGTTGTTTGATAACGAGGATTCATTTGAACGTGTGTGATTGAATTGAAATGACTTTTCTCTAAAGTGTCTTGATTTGTTGTAAATTGATGCAAATGTAAATAAACTGATTTGGATTAAACTGAATTGTCTCTTATTTAGAAAGTGGAAAGTGTTAATATATTAGCAATTTTTGTGACTACGTGATATTTTGGGTTATATTGTTGATAGTATGGGGACCATGCACTTTTAGAAAAGAGTCAAGTAATTTTATTTTTCTGTGGAGTTTTAACAGTGCAGTGTTTGTCTGATGCAAAACTCTCATAACATCGTGTAATACATGAAGTGAATGTGCGGTTCACTACACAATCCATAAAAAGCCGTTTCGACTCGTCTTTGTCGTTTAAGTTTATATTTTTTAGCCAAAATTAGACGGATCCTTTACAAGTGCAGTCAAAATTCAAAGCGGAACTAAATTACGTTACGGTTTCTTCCGTAGCGCGTTAGTGTGACACACGGAAGATCCAAAACAACATGAGCAGCGTTAGCGTTCCTTCAGCTCTCGGGAACGTGAAAACGAGAAAGGTTTGTGAGCTCAATATGTGACTGTAGTAAAAATGACTTCAGTTCAGCTTCAGGACGAGCAGCTAAATCCTGCTGAAGAAATGTCTTCAGAGTTTGAAGAAATCATCGTCAAGTCCGAAGAAGAGATGGATGGTCAGAGTGGACTGCTGGATTTAACCCGGACTCTTCGGATCACCGCACAACAAACAGGCATGAAACACCAGCGATAATAACGTTTTACTAAGGAGATTATTGTTGTGTCAAGCTGATAGTGTTTCCGTATCTGTTGCGCTTCTACACAGTGTTTTACGACTGATATCGAGCTGGATTAAAGGGCTATTCCACCGAGTTTCTGTTTGTAGGAACTTTGTTATAGAAGGGGCTTAGCTGGAAAATTACAATATATGGACAGATCATTTAAATTTTAAGAAACTACAACAATGAACTTTTTTCTATATTTGTTTAAAATCTTCTTTGGGGGATTTTGGGATAAAATTGTGCAATTACGGTATCCAGCTTGAAAAGTTCATCAGTCTGACAGCTCAAACCTGAAGAGAAATATTTTACACTGATATGGGATGTTGATGTTTTCACAAAGTTTTACATCTAATAATAAGAAAAATAAATCAAAGTAAACATTGCTAGTAGTTTAATGTCATTTTGTTGTGGAAATTTGATGATATAACTACTGAAGTTATCGTTTTTAGCTAACGTTAGTAAGAGCCAGGTTGCAGACGTATGGACGAAATAAAACTGAGAAAATAATCTTCAGATGCGCTAATGAATTAATGTGACTTTTGTTGTATGTTACTTACTTTTTTAAGCTTATCTTTGGCTTTTCTTTCTCTTTCTCAAGACCTGCCTCAACATTACAATTTTCAGGGGGAGAAGGTTTTTAATGACCATCAGCAGTTTATCCAGAAGTCGACCTCAGGTTTAGGCCAGAAGGAACTGGAACGTCCACAAATAAAAGAGGAGTGTAAGGAACTAGCACATCTCCAGATAAAAGAGGAGCAAGGACAACCAGAAGATCTTCAAATAAAAGAAGACCAGGACGATCTAGAACACTTTCTGATTAAAAAAGAGCAGGAGGAAATACAACATATGCAATTAAAAGAGGACGAGGAGGAAATACTGTGTGTGCAGATAAAAGAGGAAGAGAAAGAACTTCATCTTGCCTTTGTGGGACAAGATGGAGAACAGCTCCTGCTGAAAGAGCAGACTGACACCTTAACGCTGACTAACGAGGAAAAATACTGCAGTGAACCAGAACCAAACAGGAACCAACTCAACTCCTGTGATCTTCCTGAAGCTGAGAACCAGAACCAAGAAGGAAGAAATCCAGAGGATTCAGAATCAACAAGAGCAGGATTACCAAAACAAAATAAAAGACTTCAGAAAACCAGAGAGCACAGAAACAATGTTGACAATGCAAAAAGAAAAAGCCTTAAAAATATATCTTTAGGTAACAGCAGGTATTCTTGTAAAACGTGTAATGAAACATTTTTTCATAACAGCACGTTTATTAGACATCTGAGAACTCACACAGGTGAGAAGCCCTTTTCATGTACAACCTGTGGAAAATGTTACAGGCAAAAGGGTCATTTAACTGATCACATGAGAACTCACACAGGCGAGAAACCCTTTGCGTGTAGCATTTGTGGAAAAAGCTTCAGTCAAAAGAGCCATTTAACGATTCACATGAGAATTCATGCAGATGAGAAGCCTTTCTCCTGTGTGATCTGTGGAAAGAATTTTAGCCAGAAGGGTCAATTAACTTATCACAACAGAAGCCACACAGGCGAGAAGCCGTTTTCGTGTATTGCTTGTGGAAAATGTTTTGGTCAAAAGAGTAGTTTAACTTATCATATGAGAAGTCACACAGGTGAGAAACCTTTTTCATGCATAAATTGCGGAAAGAGTTTTAGTTTGAAAGGCAATTTAATATATCACACAAAAAATCACTCATGTGAAAAGTCGTTCCACTGTGTCACTTGTGGAAAAAAATTCTGTAAGATGGAAAACTTTACAACTCATCTGAAAATTCACACAGGTGAGATGCCTTTTTCATGCATCACCTGTGGGAAATCATTCAGCCAAAAAAAGAGTTTTAATACTCACCTAAGGACTCACACAGGTGAGAAACCTTTCACATGTAAAAGCTGTGGGAAAAGTTATATTCAAAAAAGTAGCTTAACGTATCACATGAGAATACACTCGCTTGAGAAACCATTTTCATGTAGTACTTGTGGAAAAAGTTTCAGTAAAAAAGATATATTCAAATCTCATTTGAGAAGCCACACAGGCGAGAAGCCTTTCTTGTGTAACACGTGTGGAAAACAGTTTACTCGCAAAAGTTTTTTAACAGTTCACCTAAGGGTTCACACTGGTGAGAAGCCTTTCACGTGTTCTACCTGTGAAAAATGTTTCACTCGGAAAAGTTTTTTAACAGTTCACATGAGAACCCACACTGGCGAGAAGCCTTTCTCATGTACGTCCTGTGGAAATACTTTCAGGCAAAGGGCCCATTTGATTTGTCACATGCGAACCCATACAGATGAGAAGATGTAATTTGGCGAATGCTTTGAAGCATCAATTAGCTTGGGCACTTTTTTAGAAACTGAAGTAAGCAAAAAGTAAAATAGCTTCACATTTAAAAACAACTATTGCAAAAATGCCTTCAGAAATGTTTGTCTAAACTTTTTTAAACAAGTAATGTCTCTAATAATGTGTCATGCTTGCAGTTTTTAATAAATTAAATTTGTTTTTTAGAGCAAAACATGCAATTTTCTACATGTATTTTGTCTCTGTTTCTATTCCTCTTCAGAAAGCAAATAAAATGGACCCCCATTATTTTTGGAGGTTAGGGGCCACAGCTGCCTGCCATTAGATTTAGAAAGCAGAAACAAATCCATTTTGCCACATTCACAAGTACAAGATCATACATTAGCTCTAATGTAGAAAAATTAAAATAATATGTATGAAAAATCGATATTTAAAAGGTTCTTGTCTTGCTTGGTGCAAATATCAAGACATAATGTACTAATTATGTCCAAACCAGGTACACGTTACACCATTGAAGGACGTCTGGTATGACTATAAAGTCAGACAAAGCACAATAAGTGAGAACTGGGTCAAGATGCAGCATCACATGACGCTGCTTGAAGAGATTATTCGGATTCCTGAACCTTCCTCATAAGAGTGACTGGACCGGATACGAGTCTGTTTATTGTCTGTGAATAATGTGCTAATAAAAATAAAGTGTTGCCCAAACTGAAGCAATTTTTTTTTTAAGTATTTGATAAAAATGTACCTATGTGCCTAACATTTGATAAATATTTATTTTAATATTTTCCTAAAATAAATTCTGGTATCTGACAATTAAAAGTCTATTTAAAGAAATGACATAATTACAAAACAAGATTCAGGTATAAGGAATTCTTTATCAAATCAAAACCTGTCAATACAAAAGAAATATAAGACTAATATGTACAGTAGGTAGTGTATACATGTTAGAACAAGGTTTATGGTGTTTACTGTGTATTCTTGATCTTATTTTTTTCCAAAAAGTCATGCAGGTGAATGTAGTTATTACCACCTCTGCATATTTCTGGGGTCTTTTGGAAAACATGTAATATCGATTTTATCCAGCAGATGGCAGTAATGCGGGCTATTGGATTTCAGCTATCGGAGAATGACATACTTCCTGTGCGCCTCGCAATAATACAATGGAAGCTAACGGAGCTGCTAGCCAGTTTTGTTTACATTTTGTTTGAGCTGAGTAAATGACTACCTGGAGAAACAATGTCTTCGTTTTCATCTGAGAGAGAGTTCACCAACGAGCTTTCACCTCCTGCTGAAGAAACATTAACAGACATTAAAGAAATCATTGTAAAATCCGAGGAAGAGATCGAGGACAGCTTGGATTTCAGCGAAAAAACCCAACTAACCGTAAAACGTACAGGTATGAAGGTCCAGGTGTGGTAATGTCATTTTACCAATGAGATAATGTGTCTGAATGTTGTTTGATGCCGTTTAAATGTCATTTTAAAGCTATAGAAAACATCCAATTAAATAAGCTGAGGTTATACGGACTCAAGGCTGAAGTATTTAAAATTTTCTGTGTTTCTTTTTATAGTATAATTATTCGGTACTGTAAGGAGGGCCTTTCCACGGGAGTTTTTGAAAGAGGGGAGCTAGAGAGCGGCCAAGTTACCCGATTGTTTGTTTCTGTAAATTAGCTGCGCCTATACACGGTGCATTACGGTACCAGCACTGCTGTTGTTGCATCTGTGACCTTCAGGTTTTGTGACTCCAGAAGGCAATAAAATACATGTTGGCGAATAATGCAAAATCCTCAGAAAAACAATTGAATTAGGAGAGATACTTGAGCTTTTTATGCTTATTTGCAAACATATTTCAATGAAATACACATCTAGAAATTAGGGACATAAATTGGCATAGAGGGAAACTAACATAAACATAAAACATATTTTTATAAGTATCTACATATTAAAGAATATATTTTCTACAATATGTAAATATTTCAGTCTTCTCTAAATCTGTTTAAAGAGGACGAATTCAGACAACTTTTTTTTTTTACTTTCCTGCTATCAGAAACTTCTTTAAAATGGTCGTTTTAATATATTACCTTTTTAGGTACTACAAAGTAAACTTGTCACATTGCTTGTATTATACCTTAAGTATAAAGTTTTAAGTTTGGAAAAGCTTAGTTAACTCTTTTACGATTGGAAGAGAGATTTGTGGAATTCTGGTTCATCCAAACCTGTCCAGTTTAACTATTGATTTTGGTGAGTGCTTTAAAAATTATCTCTTTTTTAATTCTCGCATTTTAGTGTATATACATCATTTTTGTTGTCTAAAAAAGATCTTAAAAAGAGTAGAATTTTGTCTGAAATGTTGTGCATTTTAGCAACATTTGCAGATGAAAGGTGCATTTTGCTATCGTTTTTCTGCCGTGTTTAAATCACAACATCTATTTCCATCTCCACACCTGCCTCTGCAGCAGCACACTGAGTGAAAAGCAGAATTTGCTCTTCATTTGGAGGTCTCTACATTAACAAAGCAGACCAAAGTGGATCCGGTGAGGGTTAGAGGAAGGAGTTTGGCTCAGAAAACGTTTTGGAATAGGGAAATACTTTTAACATAAGAAGTGAGAATAACGGCAAAGGACGACATTTCCCAAAATGAACAACAGAATGCTTACTTGTAAAGGTTTAAGCAAAACAAATTGACGATTTAAAGAAAGAGAAAAGTGAAGCGATGACATGATACAGATGCAGAAGCAGCGGTGTATTCAGTCTTAACATAAAATGCGGTCCATGTTTTTATTTTAGAAGATTTTCCCTTTTTGTGGATTTTTGTTGCTCAGTATCATAAAGTTGGATTATTTTAGGTCTGAATTTAGTTGGTATTAAATTGTTTGTTGTTTGGGGATAAGTTGAACTATTAATCAGTTTTATGTCATTTTTCATGTTTGTTTGCTTTTCTAGATGTGCAACATCACGATGTTAAGAAGGAGGAGGATTTTTCTGACCAGGAGGAACCAGAGCCTCTGACAATGAAAGAAGAACAGGGTGAGCTACAACATCTACAGATAAAAGAGGAAGATAATGAGCTCTGCATCAGTCAGGATGAAGAACAGCCTGTGGTGAAGGAGCAGGAGATGAAAACCTTTCCTGCATCTCCTACTGATGAAGAAATAAGCTGCAGTGAACCCGAACCAATCAGGGAGCAACTCGTCTCTCAGAACGGCTGTGATGCTGAGAACCGAAATCAGGAAGAAAGCAATGATGAAGACACAGAAATAAGCAGCGATGAAGAACCGAAACAAAATAAGAGACGTCAGAAAACCGGAGGGTATGGTAACAATTCTGACAAATTAAAACAAAAAGAGCAGAAGAAAACTGACAAAGATAAAAATCTGTATTCATGTACGATGTGCGACAAATTGTTCTCTCAAAAGACTCACTTGATCTACCACACGAGAACGCACACAGGTGAGAAGCCTTTCTCATGCAAGTTTTGTGGAAAATGTTTCAGTCGAGAAAGTATTGTGAACAACCACCTGAGAATCCACACAGGCGAAAAGCCCTTCTCGTGTCTGACCTGCGGAAAAAGTTTCACTCTCAAACACAAGTTAACGGATCACATGAGAATTCACACAGGCGAGAAACCTTTTCCGTGCAGCGCTTGTGATAAATCTTTTAACCTGAAAAGCAATCTGAAGCAGCACATGAGAATCCACACGGGCGAGAAGCCCTTCTCGTGTGTGACCTGCGGTAAAAGTTTCAGTCAAAGAAGTCAAGTAACGCTTCACATGAGAAGTCACACGGGCGACCGACCTTTCTCATGCGCGACCTGTGGGAAAAGTTACAGCCACAAAGGTCACCTAACTGATCACATGAGAACTCACACAGGTGAGAAGCCATTTTCATGTCTGACATGTGGAAAAAGTTACAGTCAGAAAGGCCATTTGACAGTACACATGCGAATTCACACAGGTGAGAGGCCGTTTCCGTGTAGCACATGTGGAAAAACCTTCAGTCGAAGAAGTCGTTTAAAAAAACATGTGAGAATTCACTCAAGATAGGAGTCCTGTGTGACCTGTGGGAAGCGTCTCAGTTTAAGGAGCTAAGAAGCATTTTATACAGCTGTGAACTTTAAATCATCCCCTCACATATTTCTTCTGATTTTGCTTTTTGGTTTCTTAAATGTTTCAGATTGTAGCATCCGTGTCTCAACAATGTTCACTTGAACTGATGGTTAATTGATGGTTAATAACACATCTCTAGTGAAAGTGTCTTCAGGACAATTTTGTGTTGTATACACTCGAAGAGCTGTACGTAAAAAAAATAAAACTACTGTTTGCTCACACACACACACACACACACACACACACACACACACACACACACACACACACACACACACACACATAGGTTCACTTTAGAGTGACTTTAGGTTATACTAAACAAATTCAAGCATATCTAAATAAACACCAGCTTAAACTTCTCTCCTACTAAAGTTTAACATGAATGGAACGCCAACTACGGAGCAAAATTGGGGCCGTGAAGTTTGTTCAAAAGAAAAAAAAATTTAAGCTGAGATTTGAAACCGAAATTCATCTGATATCACATGAAGAATTTTGGGTTTTGGTAACAAATACCTTTTTGTCAATTTAAACAAAATTAAAATTTATTTAAACTAAAATCTGTTATGAAATCTTTGTTTTTAAAGGAAAACATGAATAAATCTGCTTTCTATTTATGATAAATAATAACTTTGGTCACATACTATATGTGATCTTTACATCAGAAACTTTAGCTTACTACTTTAATTTGTTTTTGCAGCATAAATTGGAACAATAAACTTTATTTGTGATCATTTTTTTGTTCCACAAGAAATGTGATTAAATATTTGAGAGGTTCTAACAAATACCAGATAAGTACTTTCAGCAAATTACCAGTCCTTTTATTAACGTTACCCTAAAATTTTAAAGAAATCTTCTAAATAAATGTTCATTTTATCAAGTATTTCTTCCAGTTCCAGCATTTTTCCTAAATTTCTAGTTATTTCCATGTTATTAGTTCTATTCCATGATTTATAAGCAACCAGATAGTTAATTCATTTGGTTAAAAGTTGTATTATCTTATAATCTGAAGCTAATAATTGTTTCAGGCCTACGGTGTGGATTAAAATCTACTTTTAATCTGCTTTAAACCCAGAGTGCCTCACAAACTAAGCAGTAATATTTATTCTGTTTACAAAAATCTTTACATATTTGGACTAGTACACTATTTTGAAGAGAAAGGTAGTTTATCAATAAGTAAATAAAACTTTGTTTAGAACCTTATAGATCACTAAGTGCTGAACACAAAAAACTAAAAACCTTAAACATAGTAAATCACATGATATGAGTTTTTAAGATGGTCAACTCTGTGTCTCGTTAACTGTGAGCACATCGGTTTATGGTGATATTTTAGGACATGCTCCCTTATTGTTAAAATGACATGCACACATTGACATAGGTATTGGTTGGCACTGCTACTAACAGTTAGCCTTGTCACTGAGCACAAGACTCAGCGAATCCACTGGTTCCCACTTTGCAACGTCAGCAAACTAAACTGGCTGTGATGTCGTGAAGAGTCCAGAGGTAAATGTGTAAAGGTTTGTAAGTATGTCTCATTTTCCATCTTGTGTTGTTGATGATAACGTGTTGTGGAACACGTTAAAAACTTTGCTTTACAGTATGTAACAACAATCACAGCACTGTACTGGAGACCAGTTGTATTTGTAGGGTTTTATTTATGAAATATACAAATAAATACTAAAAATCATTGCTTTGTGTTATTTGGTTGTTCATAAGAGATGGTATATTTCTATAAGTTTACAGTTGCTTTTGATCATCTGTGCTTGTATGCATTTTATGACATCTTCAACATGTTGTTTGCAGTAAACTGAAAGACCCATGAAAACCAATCAGCATAATGCAGGTGGGTGTGAGTTCAGACAATTTATTTCAGGCTGTTTTGAAACTATCCAATAAAATAAAAAGAATGACCAGTAGTTGGTAATGAATATTGGATTGTTACAGAAAGGTATTGGTTTTTCAGTTTTAAAGTTATGGTGTATTTATTTCAGGAAAACATTGACCTTAAAATGAGGAGGACTTATCCTGCCAAATTTGACAAAAGATGACATAAAATTCAACATAACTAAATAAGTGTAGAAATTATTTATTTATATATTTATTTATTTATTTATTTATAATTTTGGCAGGATGGCTTTTGGCATAGATATGCTGTAAAGCCATTGTGATACACGATTCATCCATGGGGTGGCAATAATTCACCATAGAAGAGGAAGAAGAAGCAGAAAAAGAAGAAGAATCCTCCAACTGAGATGCTAACGGTGTTAGCTTATCTTTGTCTGGTGTCCTTTTGAGTCCCGTTGTGGTGTCTGAGCTGAATTTATGGTTATCTATAATCACAATGTCTTCACCAACGTGTAAGGAAGAGCTTAGTGACGATGAATTAACTCATGTCGAAGAAACATTTACGGAACTTAAGGAAATAATCGTAAAGTCCGAGGAAGAGATCGATGGTGAGCGCAGACTGCTGGATGTCAACCGGATACCCCAGATAATCGTTCACCATATAGGTATGAAACACCAAAAGTACAAAATTTAACCCGATGAGAGGATTTACAGATGCTTGATGCGGTTTGCAGTTAATTTCCGAAGTTAACGTATTACAGCCCAGTCACGTAAGTTTTCTGGTGTTATCCGTTTCATTTCGTCCAACCCATTTCTTGTTTACCAGGTTTTGCCTTTTCTTAAGTCAATCTACAAATCGTTTTTCATTTGCGGTCAAGCCAACGGTCGCCCTGGGCTGAAATTAAGCGCCGCTTATATAAGGTGTATTACGGCGTTAGAGCTCTGTGGCGCAGGTGTTTGCGATCTGTTGGTTATAAACATCTGTAAGAGAGGCGTCTCACGTTTCATTTGGTTCATATTAGGGCTGTTGTAAACGAATATTTTAGTAATCGAGTAATCTATCGATTATTCTTACGA